ACTTTTTTCGTTATTTCGTGTTACATATTGTTGCACAATTTAATTTTAAATTAATATGTAGGTGAAGAAACATCACAAAATCAAAGTTTATAGTAATTTTATATGTTTTTTTATAATTTTATATATATAAAAATTTACAAGCAAAATAGTGTGACAAATCGTGCGACTGATAGTATCAGGTACAATCACCGTTATACGCCAAGTCTAATATGGCTCGAATTCTTTCAAAATTTTCTAGTTGTTAAACTTTCAGAAAATTTTGTAATCTTGACTTCGCACAGATAAAACAATTTAATTAGCTAACTATTTTTAACTATATATATACTATATATATTATACTATTATAGTATATATACAAATAAACTTTAAAACTCTATCATCACGTGTAGGATATTACAGTACTTAAAAGTTGCTTATATAAAAATTTCTAGAAAAAATATTTATTGAAATAGATTATTCATCGAATTAACGTAAATTATGGATGCCCATATTTGATTATATATCTCAAACTTTTTTATCTTAGTATTTATCTATTTTTTATTTTTATTTTATTTTTTTCCGCCATCACTGCGGCAGAATATTAGTATCATCGGAATTTTGATCTTCTCCAAACCCACTTAAACTCTCTGTACCCTCCGCAAATTTTCGGAATATTTACAAGGCATTAAAAAAGATTGCATTCATAGTTAGGAAGATCAGAGTCTTAATTATTTAAAAGTGATCATCCCGCACATTTGGAAGTACAATCGAAGGTAAAGCTATTTATTAGGTAACCTGAAAATCGATTATCTATGCCAAACTGTTTGCTTGTTAAAGGGGCGATACTCTGAATCTCTGAATACGGATTAGTCTGAACGATGTTTGACTTTTCTGGTTGATTTATACTTTAGCGGGAGATAATACCTGTACTGACAGTATGGGAGTTTTCTCCATGCTGATCGTGATTGCATAAAACATGAGATGTATTTCCGTGGTTTACTAAAGTGCAAGAATTCGGATGCGTTTCTGGTTACTAACTTGGTGCATTCCAGATTTGGCAGAAACCACCGAAAAGAAATTTAAAATAGTGAAGGTATAATTTTTTAATTAATAATTTTTTGAAATTAATCCACCATTAATATTCCAGAATTTGGTAATTACAAATGGGTATTATCGTATCACAATCATTTAAATCAATATCACGAAGCAACTTCAAAATTATTGAAACGCGATCTTTCATTGGATGACGAGAGAACTGATATAAAAAAAATGAAGCAAAGTACTGAAACTCTATAGATTATAGAATTATTATATATTGAATTACAAATTAAATACTTTATTTTGTAAATAAACAGTTTCAATCCTGCCCTGACACATAAGTTCTGGACACATGATACTACACATTAACCTAGTAATAAATGAATTGTATACACATGTTATATAAATGTTATTTAAATGTTATTATATACTGTATATAATATATACACAAGGCTATGTAGCTTATTAAAAATTTTTGCTAAAATCTAGGAAATTAAGAAATACCAATTTAATTAGTAGAAAAAATCGGCACAAATTTTTTTCGTTAAAAAAGGTCATAATAAAAATTAGCAATTTATTAACATTGGCTATATGTTGCCAAAATATAAAAAGTTCATTAGAAAATAATTAACACGGAAAGATATACAGGAATTAATTAATAATATAGTTGGAATCAAAATATTATCAACAACTGTATACGTATTTGCCTTTCAGAATAAAAGTTATTGCAATAAAAAAATTGGGGAAAAATGAATTGTATACTACAGTTCGAGATAAATGAATAAAAAATACAACACATATATAATATTGTACATTAGTTGATACTACAAGGGAAATTAGAATAATACAAGATATCTTTTTTTTTCTGAAAAATAAATCATAAAACGATTGTTCGTGGTTGGTATATTATAGTGTCTCTCTTTCCTAATGTCCTTTGCTTGTATAATTGTAGAAAATTGCCTACTACTTAATAATCACAAAAAATCCAAAATACATATATTCTTTATGACCCACCAAAACTTATGGGCCATTTCATTCTTAATTGTTCAATCCACCTGATATATAACATTTCTGATATTGGAGACTTTGGGGGATTCTCTTCCACAGGTGTATCAAGCGAACTTTCAGTAGAATTTTTATTAGATGACGATGATGAACCTTCATCTATTACAAGTTCAGGAGTTGTTAAAAACGCATCAGAAACAACACCCAGATCAGATAATTTGTCACATATTTCAACATTGCTATGTTGAAAATAAGAGTTAATGATATCAATTATGTTAGTGATGTCAATGATGTCAATGATGTCAGTGATGCGTAGTGATGCGCAGTAAATAAATAAACATAATTAATAGTTACGTTTTTAATCTGTTTAATATTTCTACTAATGTTGTAAGGACTAAGTCGGGATTAACATGATCGAGTTCCTCAACACCTTTTTCAAATAAACTCAGGGCCTCAATTTCATTCGCTCTCAGTTCATTCGATTTGATCTATCCCATGAATTGTATTAATGATCTGTAAAATTAAAACATAAATGATATACATAATTAAAAAGAAATGAACAAACCTTTGCTACAGAAGGAAGGATAATGTCATTTACGAGTTGTCTTCCGACTACCCCTTCTTCAGTCACTGGCTCAACAGTTGAAATGTTTCTGGAGATCCTTGAAAAAGAACTATTACTGACACTAAATGGCCTAGGCGCCCGTATAGTATCAAGCCTGAAAAAAAAAGAATATATATAAGGAATTTGTTTGTTTCACACTTTGTGTATATGTTACTCACTCTTCATTCAACATATTTATAGAATTTGTTGTGCCATTGTTATTATCATTAGCAGCTGTTTGTTCAATCTGTGCCTCCGTAATACCTAACGCATTGACTTCAACGTTCCCACGCTTTAATGTCAATACAAACGAAGAGAATTATAAGTTTGGGATTTTTTTTTTTATATACTATATATAATTATTTAATTTTTATGCTTTTAACTTACTGAAAGGTTGGACAACTTGATAGTAGCAATATTATTTGATGAAACCGAAACCTAAATAAAAGAATTAAAAGATTTTTTTTATAAGAATAATGAATTAAACACATTATTAGATTAAGTAACAAACTTACAGATGAATTACGTTCCAATCTTCTCATTTCTCTCACTGTCATATGATCCAAGCGAATAGTGCCATCTTGATGTACTTTTCTTATTGTTTCAAAATCCCAAACAATACTTGATGGATCGTAATTAACAGTCCTATTTATCATTATAAATCAATAAAAAATATAATAAATTAATGATCTATTCTGAAAAACTTCTAAAAAAATTACTTTGCTACTTACGCAGTTTTTTTAAACGTAGATTCGGTCTTTTCTCCGCCTTTAGTTTTCCAATTATGATATCGTTCAATCAACTCTTGTAATTGTGCAGTGCTGCGAGCAGATTTTATAAAACGATGTCGTAATAATTCTTTGGCAGTAGGTCGCTATTTTACAAAAAAAAAAAAATTATGAAAAAAAACATATTGAAACATACATATTATGAAACATAAAATTTATCATTATTTACGTCATTTGGATTCTTCATCACACATAAACTGACAAAATCCTTGAATGCGCTTGAAAAGTTTCCTTCCAGTACTGGAGGCCTTGCTTTTGGGATTAAAAATAGAACTCGCATTGGATGATATTCAGACAATGGAGGTTCTCCCCTAGCCATTTCAATTGCAGTAATCCCAAGAGACCAAATATCGGCCTATTAAGTATGAATAAAATATTTAAATTTTGAATATTTTTGATTTTATAAAGATATAAATATATATATTAACCTTGTGATCATATCCAGCTTGTCGAATAACTTCTGGAGCCATCCAAAACTATATAAAATTACTTTAAATTAACAAAAATATTTGAAACTTTAAGCAACTGAACATAAGTAATACAAATGCTTACGGGTGTTCCGACAAAAGTGTTTCTTCTGCTCTTATTATTTGAAAGTTGAGCAGCGACACCAAAGTCGGCTGTAAAATTGTTTACCAATTTATAATCATAGGTTAAAATAAAAAAAAACAATAGCATAAACTAATAATGAAGCAGTGAAATTAACATTGGATGTAATACCTAGTTTTACTTTGCCTTCGCCAGAAAGCAAGACGTTTGCAGCTAAAAATTGAAAGAGAATAAGGTTACCAATTTTTACGTAATAATAATAATTCAAAGGACCATACACAGTATTTAATAAAAGTATTTAAACCTACCTTTTATATCCCTATGTATTTTCCCTTCAATATGTAGGTACTCTAAACCATGTAAAAGTTCACGTATAACAATAGCAATATGGTTTTCATCAAATGGACCAGGTTTAAGCTGTGAAGAAATACTAATGAACAAATGATATTTGAATAAATTTGAAGTATCGTATAGTGCAGCAATACTCACTAAATCTAAACATGATCCACCGGCAAGGTATTCCATAACTAAAAGATAGAAATTCAAAATACATAAATAAAAACACGTATAATTAAACTTAGGGATAATAAAAAGAAACACTTTACCGATCCACAATTTGAACCCTTTGACAAACGAGCCATAATAACGAGTGATATATTGTGAGTCGCATTGTGATAATAACGCGATTTCTTGTTGTATTTCACTAATATCATCATCAGAATCTTCCAAATCAATTTGTTTGACGGCAACTATTTGCTTGGTATCATTATTTATGCTAAATAAAAAATTATTAAATACATAGCATATACGCATGAATATTAATGTTGTATGCACAATATTGCAGAAAAACATAGTTGATACAGTTTTATAATATGTACGCTTTATAAACAGTTCCAAAAGATCCAGTACCAAGTTTTTCGAGTATGGTGTACTCTTCGTCTGGATCGCGCCTAGGCTGTATGCATTCAATGTTGGAGTTAAAAATAGAAAACTATTATGACTATATGCTAAAGTCAAATAACGAAATATATATATATTTTTACCATTTTAAAAATGTTTTTTAAGACTCGTTTGTCGGGTTCGTGGACGATAGTATAAGAAAACTAAAGGTGCAAGTGGGTAGGCACGAAAAAAGACAAAGAAAAAAAAAATTAAGCGGATTGGGACTTAGCAGTTATACTGCTAAAGAAAATACTCAGCGGGACCATAAAAAGCTACAAAGAAAAAAGCAGGATATAATCAATCATTAACAATCATTAATTACCAGAAAAATAACAATTCTTTTAAACCCTTATATTCAGGAGAAATGAAGGGGATTTTTTTTTACTTCAATAAAAAAATAATTACAAAATAATTACATAGAAAAAATAGAACGGCGATCGGAAAAAAGTATGAGAATAAAAATTCTAAATTCTGTGAACAGATGGAGAATGTGCGACAAAGGGGGTGGAATTAAGGGCGATAGTCTCTTTCTGTTTTTGGAAGAGTTAGGGGAGTTAACCTAAACGTAAAATTTGCATTCCGAAATTCTATATAATTTAACTAAGAGAATAATAAAAGTGTAAAAATTGTTATTGTATTATTAAGAAAAATAAATATAATAAAAAAATCGACAAAAAAATCGACAAAAAAAAATCGAGATAATACGTTATTTTATAAATATATTCGATTATCAATATCCCGACATTAAGGGTTCAGATAAATAGATCAGTGATCACTATGATGGTTTAATAATCACCTGATTAATTTAAATGCTTTCAATTAACATCATCATATCATATCGATATTAATATCATAACTATATATTTGAGTAGATACCCTGAGTGTTCAGGAGCGAAGTCTTCATTTACCTAATTTATCATAATTTATCATTCAGTCTAATTAATTTGTATTATTTATTGTATATGGATCGATTGTTTTGTAAACTTTTAAGTAAAAAACTGTAATACGTATTTGATTTAATAATAGATTATCATTTTAATGTTTTTAGCCCAAATAGTAAAGAAAAAAAATGCCGGTGTTTTAAAAATCAACTTTAGTCTTGATCTACTTCCCCGCAGAATAAAAAATCGATTGTTGATTGGATTAATCCAGAGTACTGAGTAGTGACAAATATGACGAAATTTTATTATATATATCCAAATATATATATTTACATATGGTAAGTAAAATCACATGAATATTCTCTAACATAACTGCACGAAACTTAATCCTAACATAACACCTTAAACTACTCTTGTCATTAAATTCTAAATGAAATCGGAATTCTTCAAATATCCGATTGGGTTAATACGGGTAATAGCACACTAAATTCTTTTTTTGAAACCTTAAAAACAACGAATTTATCAAATTTGTTGTTTCAAAAGATATTGCTTTTTTTAATGGCTCCTCAACGACACTAACTCGTTGCACTACGTTAACTCAAAATCAAATGACTGATAATGCTACTTTAAACATTCCACATGTGTGCTATTTATATGCATTATATGTATTATATGCATAAATCGGTTTTAATTATATCCTTATGAAAATGTTATTTTTACTTTGATACTATCTTTTAAGCCAATATACTGATATAGACTGATGAAATATATTATTGGAATTTGATTTGAGAAATAGAAAAGAACCGCAAATAAAATTTCTTTAAAAAATTCAGCATACTTAACCCGTTAATTTTTTTATTATTCAATGTATCACCTTTTATTTTGTTCTAATTTTGGTTAGATAATAAATATTGTACAAACATGGTGACACCTTAAATTACAATTTATAACTAAGCGTCCAAAGGAAAGTAATTGCATCATAATTATGTAGTATGCATTGTAAGAAATCTTAAAAAATGATTAAATATCATATAATAAATAAATATAATGATTCAAATTCATTGGATAAAAATCAGATATAATAGTTATATAGTTAGCTATACGTATAGTAAGCTTTATACTATCGCTATCGTCCTTAAAATATGGTTAATCATTACTGATTTTAGATTATGTTGCTCTGGATTATAAAAACAACGGTCAGATGTTTGTCAGAAATTTTGCTCACCAGACTTAACCGTTACAGTTTACAGTTGCATTAACGTTAATAAATCTGATGTAGCACGTCTCATTACGTAGGTCGTGAGTGCTCACGAGCAACGTAGTATATATGACGTAAAGATACTATTACATCTCCGAGTGTCTTGGCATTTATGATGTCGAAATATTTTGCCAATTTAATAATCCGAAATACATTCAGCATGGCGTAAAAGTTTCTACATTTTTAAGCTTTAAAATGTTAAATAAATGGTAGGTTTAATTTTTATGTATTTATTGTAGTAATATCATACATTAAAAAAAATTGATGGAGTCCTGGGATAGAACAGGACATGACAGGTCCAGAAAAAGTTCGGACAGCGGGTATAGATATTACCCAGTCTCATCCGGTTAGTATTTATAGAAATTTGGCCGATGTTTCCTCATTCTAAATTTTAATTCAGGCAAATTAATATGGTTGCATGACGGGGTTTTATAATCACTAATGAGTAAAAGAAAAAGTTCCCTGATCTCCGATATAAAAACATTACTGAATACTTGTTTTTTTCCATTGATTAAAGTGACGAATATGAATCTTTATTTATCTCTTATTTCGCAGTCGCAGAAAATTAATAGTACTTATTTTTTAGCTTATTTGTATCTAATTATCCAAATCGCTCAGATATCCGGATATCAATAGTAAATGGATAGTAAATGGATATCCGAATAAATTCAGCTCCGGATATTTTATAGTTATCCGGGATAAATGCTTAATGGATTGGAACTCTGTCTTAATACTGTAATATGCTACCCCAACTTTCTGCACCTGTGCGTCAAGGTAAATATTTATATACTTAAAATTTTTTAAAAATTATAAATTTCCTAATCTGCTTTAGCAAGCACCGGTATTCTGTCAAAATATGAATACCAATTTTAGTAAATTCATTTTTCAGAAAGTTCTATAATTGGCTAGCTAGCTTAATTATAACCTGTAATGTTTGTAAGCGACAATTTATCGACTCAACTAAGCTGACATAATATTTAAAAATCGATAAGTCAACTAAGTCGAATTTCTGTACATTAAATACATATATTCTGAATTCTTCAGAATTATGTTCTATTTCCTGAAATCTTCTGATACTTCCTATACATACTACGATAAATTAAATGAAATTTAACGGTACACAGGTTGAATCAATTAATATCTGGTATATACTGGGAGAAAAGTTTCCTGATATGTACCCGATAGTCTGCCAAATACCTACTGTATATCAGCAGCATATTGGTAGCATTGGTAAGATATCAGAAGGTAGATCGATATCGGTAACATAACAGCACAATATTGGGATACCTTGATATTTTACACTTAGCACTCTGGGCCAATATTTTGATGTTATGTTACTGATATCGATTTACTTCCCATTATGCTACAAATATGCCGCAGGTATTTGGCAGATCTATGGCAGACTATCAGGAAACTTGTCTCCCGGTATGTACTCGATATTTATTGATCCAACCTGTGGTAAATACAGTATATATTCATGGAATGAAATTTATATTAATACAATGAAGTTGAATAGTATAAATTGAATGTAAATACTTTAAATATACTGTATATAAAGGTTTACCAATATTTTTCCTTCCCTGAAAAATATATACAGTATATAAGGTATATATTTGGATTATATATGCATAAAAATAATTTTTAAAGTTCCTCAGATAATTTTTTTTGATGTTTCTGTTTCTGCATTCTGATTGGCCTGTCTGTGGTGGTACAAACCACGTGATTTTAAAGTTGCAGATCATTTGGCCAGCTTTGAAGTCAAATAATTTCAAACCAGGCCAAATGATCTGCAAATTTGACCAGAGTTACAGCTTATGGGTTTTTATATTTATCAAATTCCACAAATCCGTCGATATGCTTCAATATTTATTCTCTATTACCCCGAAATTTTTCGATATTTCCTATATTTATAATCCTTCAACTAAAATCGATCTTTTAAAAAATCAGCCGTCTTAGTCGGCTAAGTCGAGATTTACAACTAACGCCAAATCGACTACGACACTAATAACCGGTTAGATCGTAACTGTTTAGAAACTGATTAATCAGGTTTATACAATCGGTTATGCATTAACTAGGTTATCATCACAAAGAATCGGAAATCCGTCATGAGTATTGAAAGGAAAAAATTTTATATAGAATTATTTTTTAAATGTAAAAACTGTTATAATTTCTAAGTTAAACCATATTTTTTTCAAAATTATCTTTTATTATTGAAAAAAAAAAGGCAGTACTTGCTATCGTATAACATACACATACTGATTTAAACCATGCAAAGCGGGATTTAACTAACCAAAAGTCAAAGTCCACAAACTTGTCCTATGATTGATCAATGCTGGTGACAAGACACAGATACCCATGCACACACTGATTTAAACTATACAAAGTGGGATTTGCTAACCAAAAGCTAGTCCACATGCTTGTTCTATGATTGATCAACGCTGGTGAAAAAACACAGATACTCATGTACATAACTCTGCATCTTTATTGGCTAACATATACCTATTCCAACACCTAATCAACGATATCTCACCAGTCCATAACATTTTTTCCCTTACCTTTGGATTTATTCACTTCATGAATCATACTAATACCTCTGTTAAGCCATTGAGGATAAAACACGCAATTAGATGGTGAGATTTCTCCATCCTCCGTACATTCTTCTTTAAAATACTAAAATGAAATATATGAGATTTTGAAATTAGTTTTTGAAATTTTAATTTTTAATCCAAGTATTGATAATTTATCACATACCGGACACCTCCCACATGGTGTTGGAGTCCAAGCGTTGCTCACTGCTCTTGGTTTTCTTGCCATATACATAACGTGAGATTCCTGATTTGTATCCATGATATTCATTGCATCTGAATCTGGTATTACACCTGAAAAAATTCTTACAACTTTTCCTTCATAAATAAGAACATCTACAAGTTGTTGTATATCTGATTCTTGAGCTTCACAATCAGTGATCAAATTTGATTCATGAATACATTGTAAAATTTTTTCTAGTGTCGCATAACCTGTGTAACCTGGATGATATATTCCATCCTCATCCAAATCTTTTGGAAAACTCTATTAAATGTGCAATTTCAATAATATTAAGTTTTGTCTGACATAAATTGCGTGAATAACAACACATATTTCATATACAAACTCTGTGAAATATAAAATTATAGCATAAAGTTTTTAATGCCTCTACAACTATTGTATCAACTTCCCCATTATTGTATAATAATCTGCTAAGAGATTCATCAACTGGTTTAATGTCAAATAACATGTACAATTTTTTGTTCTGAAAAAAATAAAAAAAGATGCGTCAATAACATCAACAACAGCACGATAACCATAATCTTGAAAGTGATATTACAAAAAGAAATAATTACCTTTGGTTTGACTTCTTTAATCAATTGTTGGTCCTGCATAGACTTTAGACTACTCTCAACTATAGATTGTACGATCTTAGACTGTTTTTGGATTTCAGACTTTGCGATACCTTAACAGCAGAAGATAAATTCATTAGCATGTCCAAATTATATTCCAATTCTTTTTTTAAAAAAAAATATTCATACCTTTTCTTTCTGAATTTTCTATGAGCTCATATATTTCAAATTCTCTTTCATCAAGGTTTTGCAATCTAAACATTTATTATATTCAAATTTATAAAATTATCAATCCTCTCTGAATGTGTAAAGGAAAAGAGAAAAAATATCTTACTTTTTTGCAATTTCTTTTGTACGAGCTTGGTATAAAACCCTTTCATCATGGGTTTGTCGCTTCCTAACCAATCCCTGAATATTATAATTAAACCTAGATATTACTAAATATATATAGATAGGTCCAACTTAAACGGCTAAAGAATATTCGTAACAGACTTACAAAAGAATGCAAACTTTCTAATATTATTTGTAATTGTTCCCAGGGAGTATCAGGCAATTCATACTCAATCAATTCATGAATCTTTATCTCGTCTACAAAGATCTAGTAAATCGCTTTGCTTCAGTAAAATAAATTTGGTTATTTATTTAAATAATCTTAAAAAATTCTAACCTGTCCCTGCTCTAAAATAATCTTGTGAACAGTCAACTCTTCCTCCGTTACTTCCATATTAATGACAAAAAAGGTCTTAGCGCGTTAGATGTAGATTTAATAACCGGTATCGGATAAATCAATAAAAATAGCAGATACCGATACAGTTGTTTCACAGATCTTGCATAAATCGAAATTCGAGACTTACAAAAGTTTACGTAATTTCTTAATTACTAATCGACTGTAAGCGTCAAATTTTAAAAAGGTTAGAATTCCATTTTTTTTTTAAATGATGAATTTGTTCTCTTATCAATTCCAATCTTTACTTAGAAATTCACAAAAGAGAGCTTTTAGCTCTGGTTTTAAGCTTTTTAATAAAATTAACACGAATTCGTTAATTTGCCATTATAATTATCAAACCAAAAATATTTTAAATTCGAAAAACAATATTATTAGAATAAATTCGATAAGAATGGCGACCAGTTCAAAAAGCAATGAAAAAAAACCTGTAGTGCAGAGTGAATTGAATAGGCTTTCGAAGGAGAAGAGTCCCTATTTACTGGTATAAATATAATTTTTTTTAAAAAATTTTGTAAAGAAGTATCTCTTTTTTTTTTTTAATTTCTGTTTCGAAAAATTAAGCAACATGCAAATAATCCTGGTAAAATTTTAATTTTATGGTCTTTTTTCTTTTACTATGTTTTGATAATTTAATCCATGATTTTTGTAGTTGATTGGTATCCATGGTGTGAAGAAGCTTTTGAAAAAGCTCGAAACGAAAATAAATTAATTTTTTTAAGTGTTGGTTATAGTACTTGCCAGTATGTATATCTCAATTTATATATATTTTATATATATTTTATGTTTTAAAATTGTTCTAATCAGTCTATTTCTTTTATGACGCGATTTTTTATAATTTACAAGTTGGTGCCATGTCATGGTATGGTTTTATTATACATGCGTTTCAAAGTCTGAATTTTCGCGTAAGCAAGTTTCCTTTTACACAATTTATGAACTTTAGGCTCATGAGTCATTCGAAAATGAGGCTGTTGCAAAAATTATGAATGAGCATTTTGTGAATGTAAAAGGTATGTATGATTTATAACATTATATTAATACTAAATCATTGATTTTGTTGCATTAGTTAATTATTGTATTAATTTTTTATATTGAACGTGTTTGTACAGTTGACAGGTACTTACTGTATTAATATATCCTTTATTTATATATATATATATTTGCAATTCTACCATATATCTTATGTCACGTAAATTACATTAAATTACATCAACAGAGAAACTCAACCTGATGTGGATCGTATGTACATGGTACGGTAGATATGACTATTTACCTTGTAGATTATCTTTCGCCAATATAATATGTTTATTCGTTTTCAGCTCTTTGTACAATCTTTTTCTGGAAGTGGTGGATGGCCAATGTCGGTCTTTTTGACTGTGAGTCTTTATACGTATTAGACTATAAAAATGCAGTCATTTGATTATTGATATGTATGAATTATTTGCTTTTCTGTAGCCTGAATTATATCGTAAGTATAGAAATACAACTGTCTTATTCTATTCATCTTTTTTAGTCATGGCTATATACACTGTGCATTTGTGTTGTAATTTATTATTTGTTCGCAGCTGTGTTTGGTGGAACCTATTTTCCTCCAGATGATCGATATGGCAGGCAGGTCTTCTTATTAGCTATATTTATATTTGATTTTTTTTTTTTGTATTCAAAAAATTTAAGAGTAACACTAATTTACAATCTTTAGGACTGGTTTTGCTACCTTGCTTAAACGAATGTCAGAGTTGTGAGTAAAGATAACGCGTCGCTACATTCTTATTAGTATTAGATATTGATTATGGTATAAACTTTTACGATGTATAGATGGAAAGAACAACCTGACGAAATGAGAAAAGCCGGTACGAATGCAATTGAACAGCTTCGTGAATTTATAACGGTGAGTAGTTACACGCGTTTAAAATGAGGTTATTTATTTGTAATATTTTATTATAGTCATTATATTTTGTCAAAATTTTATTATAAAGTTTTAATTCTTAAGAAACTCTATCATTTAATTATAGTCTAGAGGAGAAAGCGCGAAATCCATAAAATTAGACATGAAAACTGCACTAAAATTATATAATCATTTTGATAAAATGTTTGACGATGAACAAGGCGGATTTGATGGCAAAAGTTTGTGAAATTATTACTTTAAATCGTATCATTGTTTAATTTTATGATTAAAACAACAATTATTATTAAAATTTTAGGTGAACCCAAGTTTCCGACCCCAGTTCAATTGCACTTTCTACTTCGTTACTATTATTATATACTTGTGGACCTTGAAAGGGCATACGAAAGGTTGGCTATAATGTCAATCAATGAAATTCGTAATCGCGGTGCATCTTTGGGTATCGATTTTAAAGACTGTGAAAATGAAGCACAATTTTTAAACAAACTAAAAGAAGTTGTGACAAGTCGTAAGCAAGTTGCAGAAAAGAGTTTGGAAATGGTTAATTTCACTTTGAAGGTGAGTATGTTATTTTCTAGTGTTTAAGTTTATAAAACATATTCGCTAATAAAGTAATATTATCTATTTATTTAGAAAATTGCTATGGGTGGAATTCATGGTATGTTGTATAATTATATATTCATAATCATAATTTGTACAAAATAATAAAATAGTAATTTTAAACAATCATAAATTATGTGTAAAACGAAAAAAGATCATGTTGGGAATGGATTTCATCGGTAAGAAACATTGATTTTTTACATGCACAACTAAATTTATGCAACATGAGATTTATGTATCATTTCCTTTCATAGTTATTCAACTGATCGATATTGGCATGTTCCCCATTTTGAAAAAATGGTAAGTTAATAACTTGATAAGCTTTTGGTCAATATTAGTTTCGCATTTCAAATCGTTTTCTCGTTGTTTGACAATAAAATTAGCTTTATGATCAAGCACAATTGCTAATGAGCTTTGTTGAAGCTTATGCGATAACAAAGGATCAATATTTTGCTGAGGTACGAAGAAATATTTAAATTGTTATTTTCTTATGTCTTTTCTTTACTCAAGCCGTTAAATTTTAAAGGTGGCGCGTGATATAGTAACGTATGTTGAAAGAGATCTGAGAGATCCTGAAGGTGGTTTTTATTCAGCTGAAGACGCTGATTCCTATCCCCATGAAGGCGCAAAGCACAAACTTGGTGAGGTTTTGTTTCGTTCTTTTCGTATGAGCTATCTATATGCAAATTACAAGTTTAAATTTTATGATTTAAAAGTGTTTCGATATTAATATTTGAAAACATTAATTAAATATTTTGATTTTCATTTACACAGAGGGTGCTTTTTGTGTATGGGAAATGTCTGAAATCAAAGAAATATTAGGGGATAAGAATTCAGAGATTTTCTGTTGGCATTACGGCGTGAAACCGGATGGAAATGTTGATCCCAATAAGGATATCCAGGGAGAGTTGAAGCGTAAGGTAAATAAAATTTTGTGCATACTTTACTTTCACATACAGTAGTTGAGTCGAACTAATTTTACACCTTGATAGAATGTCTTGATTCAACGCCATACGTTAGAAGAAACAGCAGGACATTTCAATATTACATCAGATCAACTGAAAGAAACTCTTTCAGAATCTATGAAGGAGCTTGCAAAATATCGGGTTGAAAAAAGGCCTAAACCACATCGTGACGATAAAATTTTGGCAGCATGGAATGGTTTGTTGATTCATTATAAAATCTTGATTTTGATAATTAACGATATCTTAATTTTATTATCGTGTCTATTCCATAGGATTGATGATTACTGGCCTTGCAAGGGCTTACGACTCGCTACGTGATAAAAAATTTTTGGACCTTGCAGAAGGTGCAGCAAAATTTTTGAAAGAAAAAATGTATATTCTTGAGAAGAAAGTTTTATTAAGAAGCTTTAGAGAAGGTCCTGGTGATGTTGAAGGATTTGTTGATGATTACAGGTGGGGTGAAAATTTCTTTATTGATTATCAATATTAGTATTATTGTCATAATTTTTAAATTTGGTTTTGTTATTCTTTAGTTACTTAATCGAAGGTATTACTCTTAATTATGTTTGTTTATAATTCATATAATTTAAGAGACTAATATATGTACTCATATTCGCACACAATTTTATTTTTATATTAGGATTGCTACACCTTTATCAATCCTCTTTTAATGAATCATATCTTTCATGGGCCATTGATTTGCAAGATCGACAAAATCAATTATTTTATGATGAACAATCTGGAGGGTATTATAATGTTAAAGAAGGCACCAAAGACATATTATTGAGACTGAAGGATGGTAAGTTTTCAATCTTTTCAATTTTTACCATCAAAACAGGATGATTGACGCGTTCCTTTTTGTGTAACTGAAGATCACGATGGCGCAGAGCCTTCAGCAAATTCTGTTTCGGTTAGCAACCTAATTTTGCTTGGTAACATTGCTAACAACCTTGATTATAGCACTAAAGCTGAACAGACATTGAAATATTTTGCGGGGAGATTAAACACAGTTCCATATTCAATGTCTGCAATGGTTGCCAGTTTGATGTTACATATAAAAGGCGTTAAACAGGTATTTGACGCGCTTTTGAATTATATAGTGTATGTGTAACTGGCATCTTATCAATTTTGCACATATTTACAGATAATGGTTGTTGGGCGTGAACAAAATCCAATTGTTCAACAATTTATTGAAGTCATTCAGGATCGATTTATTCCTAATAAAACTTTGCTTGTAGCAAAACCCGAGAATGAACTCCTCCTAGAAAAAAATGAAATGGTAAATGCTATAGTACAAGGCGAGTTTGCGAAAGAAACCGATGATAATGTTCCATCGGTGCACATATGTGAGAATTTCACTTGCGGTATGCCAATTAGCAACGTTGAAGAGTTGGTGGATAAATTGAAATATTGAAAAAAATAATTTAATTATCTTGTGGATTATACGGTTTGTTTTTTTTTTATCCAAAAAATTATTTAAACATTAAAATAATTATTTAATTATTTCGTTAACACAATAAGAAAATGATTTGAAGTCTGCATAATGATCATATAAAGATGTAGTATGATATTATTCGTTCATAAATATATGTGGCGAGTTGATTAAGGCGATGCCGTATAAAAAAAACCTATCGTTATTACAGCTGTTCTCATAGATCCCGAGACAACTGGTAAAAAAATTTACAATTTTTCTCAAATTCTGGGACAACTGATAAAATGTTAACCGATAATAATTAGTACAAATAAATATTCAACATCCTTCACATTAGGCCATGCAAAATAAATTAATTGGTTTTCATAACCCGGCCGGGTCAAAATTTGAAAAAAAAATTTTTTATATGTTTTAAAAACCGGGTGGAGTTTAAAAAAAAAATTTTATATAAATTTTATATATGAAATTTTTTTAAAAAAAGCCGGCCAGCCGGGTCAATTTAAAAGTTTCATGTTATGAAAATCAAGTAATTAAATTTGTATGGCCTTATATGTGTGTGCATATATATATATGTTCTATATTGATTGTAATCCTTCAGCATTTTCGATAGGTTCTTCACTTTCATTAAATATAATTGATCTGGTACCTCGATATACTTTTATAAGTATACTGTATTTTGGCAATAGATGCTTCAATTTCGTCCAAAAAAAATTTTTAAAATTTAATGTGTATATCAATATCACAACAGAACTTATTTTATTACTTACTTGAAACACCACAACCATTCTATCCTGCCCTTCAACGATTATGGCCATATAAAATTTAACTTGTAACATTGTAATACCTTCGTTAATTATGATATCAGAAATTTTCGAACGTTCGATGAACCGGGAAACAGTTCTACCGTTTATGTAAACGGTTTCAACTTGTATACCAATATCACGGATCGATAATATGCTTTCTTTTGAGAAAAAAAAAATTGTTACTAAATATTTATTTTATTTTATCTTAATAATTGATGTTGTACCTTGTTTAACTATATTAAACTTTGTCCAAAGCCATATTGTCAGCAGTGTTATACACATTCCGTATGATATTGGAGTCCTATTCTATCTCAAAAATGCCACCCTTAGAACCTTTGAAAAATTTTTCATAATAAAAAAAAAAAAAAAAAAAATACCGTTAATCCAATTATAGCAGCAAATGCGAAAGCGTATATAAGATCAAAAAAACCAAAAAATGATTGATCCGATACTATCGTATAGACTCTAGCATTGTCGGCTAGTATTTTGACATAGAATTGTGATTTTTTCACTGGGGGCTCGGGATTTGGCATGGTGGATGTGAATGTGAATTGTGTACCCATCTGATAACCATTTATTCTAAGGGTGAATGACCCGGATTGTTTGTTGGTTATGTAATAAATTAACGCATACACTAAATTTAAATAATAAAAATTATATCATACTGTTGAGTCATATAATTTTACAACTGATATCTAATGATCATTATAATTTGTAATGATTTCAAAATATAACACTAAACTCTGTTGTCATGACACATTAAGATTATTCAAAGAAAAAATATATAATAAAAAAGTTTTTGAAATGAATTGAATTAGTCTTTATTTTCATGGATACTTATAACGATCTTTTCGAGAGCGCTCATAGTTTAATGAAAACTTGTGATGAGGCAAGTGTGCGATTAAAAAAATTTTATGTTCATCAGCCGCTTTATACTTGATGCGTTTGATGCATTACTTAATAGAATGCAATTCTTTCGTTGGCTTATCTTTCTGTATACAATATTTGTAATCCGGATTTCTAAACTTACAATCGCGCTACTGTATCATCCTCGCCGGATGATAACGTCGTCTTTGTAAAATGGACAATTAGTAGTTTCATAATATTTGGTGATGACATATTAACACTAGATGGATTAATATATTCAAATCCTTGCAACTCTATTTTTTTCTAACTCTCAATCTTTTTGTGACATATATAATGAACAGATTGAAAACTATAATGAAGACAATGATAATGAAGACAATTATTCATTACAATTTAATCTTGATTCAATTACCATTGGAGGTTACAAATCCAAAAAGTTTGTACCTATAACTGTATCTTTTAACCCAGAAAATGATGCAATTTGTTTTGAACTTGATTGTGGGCGATTAGATATTCAATTTATGGGTGTTGAATCTTATGAACGAGATAATCGAAGGATTTGTCTGAAACTACGAAATGATATAGTTAAATGGATCTTGCCGGTAAGTATTGGCCTATTTACACAGTAGCAATAAACGTTCAATTTTTAAGATGGAAAATTTTTTAAAAAAATTCTTTATAGGTCCAAACAATGATTACTGAAAACGAAATTGCAATCTCTATTGATCCCACTTGTGGTGAATTATTAAAGGCAGATAAAATTGTTATGTTCATTGCAGATTATGAAAAAGTATCAATTTTGGATGAGGAATTTCGGTAAGCAAATGAAATTGAAATATTTATCTTTTATAACTTAACAATATCTTGTCTATTGTATTATAGTCGTATTCAAGGAAAAGCGTTTTATTCGACTTCGCTCGCCTTTCAATTTCAAAAAGGAGATGAAGAGGTCGGCCATTTCACTAAAATATTGAAGTTTCATTTTCATTCTCTTTCACTTAATTTATTTATTTTATAAAAGATCGAGGTTATAGTTGAATATAAATCCATCCGTCATTTTCACTATATCCCTCTTGAAATGAATTTTACTCAATTTCTCATAATTCTACGACGGGAGTTTCGTTCGCAACAAATTCAACCACCATTACGATATGTACCGGGTCGTTCTGGGGTTGTTTGTATTTATAATGAGGGAGATTGGTGCTGTTATAAATTAGAGGCTGCAAAGAGGCAACGTGGGAAAAAGGAAATTTTGGACGTGTTCTTAGATGAATAAATCTTTTTAGAATGTAGCTCTTGCTTCTTGCACATCTACACATGATTCTGATAGATATTTTGCGATATAATGATTTTTTTTACCAACAAGAAACGCTTATTTTCATTTACATGCAGAATAAAACATAAAGATTGCATAACAGTTAAGTCACTTGTTTTCCCGCAAGTATGGTGTGTACAGTCTGAAGAACCAGTTTTTTTTAAATTCTATTATAATAAATGATTTAAAGCTACAAATAAAAATATTTTATTCAATAATTTTTATTTTAAAAAATGCAATTTTAAATTTTAGTTAGTACTACCTTAAATGTGTGCATAAGGATCTGGGTCCAATTAATTTTAAGACTCGGTATAGTACACATATAAGAGATTAAAAAATTTAAAGTGCATACACACAATTAGCAATTCATCTAATTCTTTATAGTTAACCAATATGTATACTAAAAAAATTTTTTTTTAAAATCTAGTCGAGCTAGTTCGATAATTTGGCAATTTAGCATATTCTTAAGAGAATGATTTTGTCACGATACTTTGTTATAAATCCGCGTATTATCGGAACTAAACCTGTGTATATAGTATATTGTAGTACCTGGGTACCGTTTAGATGGGTAAATTGTGCAGACAATGGTTTGTTTCCGGGTACATGAACATGAGGGTATCAGAGCCAGTGGTCGTTAGAAGCAAAACTAGCTAGCAAAATTAGCTAGTAAATTTTGCAAATTTAGCAAAATAGCTTATTACAAAATTTATATTTGTCAATTATAAATTTTAATGTAGTCGTATGTTCTTCGATGAGTTCTTAATCTATCATCATTTACAACATGCATATAATTGCACGTTTATATAAATCAGTTTAAGAACAAAAGGAATAGTCGCATGCTTAGCAAATTTCGCATCTTAGCACAAACAATGTTGCTAGCTATTTTGCTAAAAAATAGCGCTATTTTAGATGCTACTAAAATCCACTGGCTCTGGAGGGTATCATCAAAATGTGGATTCGGCCTCTAAAACTGTTTGGGTAGGGTGAGGTGCATAGGAAATTTTTTTGGACTAGAAGCATGCCTCTTCATACCCGGGCATGCCCTTACAAATCAATATTATTTTGTAGCAGTTTATAATATTAACCAATCCGAAGGCATATTCACTTAATATATGTAGTTTTTAAATATTAAATAAAATGGCATGAGCATGCCCAAGAATCCTGTGCCCCTCACCCTAGTTTGGGGCTCTGAGCATTGGTATCTGGAAAAACTTTTTGGATCTCGGGAGATTGAAAAAAAACACCTAAAAAAATTTTCATCCAATAACGATCTATCATACTATAACGAAGAATCCAAGGCTTTGATATGTTTTCGATCTTTTTAGAAAGGTAGGAAGATATTGTTGAAATTTAATACAATTTTTCTCATTATTTTGTTGTAAAAAAAAACTACGTATTGTATTTTTCATATTTTCTTTGATCGGTCGATTACGGAGCCAATTTGACAATATGATTGGACGATCTAATACGCGTGATGGCAATAAAAGGTAGGTATATAAGGGTCACTTTTTTATTCTTTCACTTACTAATTTCATTTTCTTCTTTATTCATTTTATTCTTTTAATCTTACTATACTTTTTACTACCTTTTTTTGATACTGCGCTTTTTTTTTTTTGATACTACACTTTTTTTTTTTTTGATATTACACTTTTCTTTTTGATACTACACTATTTTTTTTTGATACTACACTTTTTTTTAACACACTTTTATTTTGATATTATACTTTTTTTTTTCTTTGATGCTACACTTTGTTTTTAGTATATTTTTATTACCGTCTTTTATAGTTGTAGAACTTTTTGAATACTCGTTATTTGCCATAAAGACTTTTTTTTTCTCGTGTTCCTTTCGAGCGGGTCACGTTTTGGCAACATGAACCTTAAAGCATCAAACTGACAAGCGGAAGGGGTTATTTAATTAGTTTTTGCTCGAAGAAACTGAGGTTTGATAAAATTCCCAGCTCACTTGAGTTTTTGCGAGTTCTTTGTCAAAACAATTCCTTTTTCTTTCTTGTGTTCCTTTCGAGCGGGTCACGTTTTGTCAACATGAACTTAAAAGCAATAAACTGACAAGCGGCAGGGGTTATCTAATCAGTTCTTGCTCGAAGAACTTGACGTTTGATAAAATTCCCAGCTCACTTGAGTTTTGCGAGCTCTTTGTCGAGACATTTTCCCTAGTCATAGGATACACCTCTACGTGGTGACTAGGACGAGTAAGCTTTTTATTTTATTTTTATTTTTACTTGGCTGAAACGAAGTATCCTAATAAAAAATAATAAAGATCGTAACTAAGTAATTTGTGAAATATAGTATACTGTAGAAAAGTAATGAAAAAAATATATATAAATTAATTTCAAGATATAAATGATTTTAAATATGTTTGAGTGAATATTTTGTAGCAATAATTCGTATTTACAATAAAATTTATTAATAATTTAAAATATTTTTGGTTTAACCAAATTAATAAGTTTTTCGATATAAGTAATGAATGACCAAACTCCTTAAAAAAACGATATATAAGTTTATATTAAAATCTGCAAAATGTACTTTTATCATGACTAATAAAGCATCTATAAAGAAAAAAAATAAAATAAAATAACAATAAAATAAAGCTCATATAATTTTGATAAGCAAACTCCATATATGTAAAAAGGTATTAAAGTCATTTCACTATTTAATAATATTGGCATTTTTGTGTTATCGTTTGTTTCTTTTTTATTCTTATAGTTATTAGCCTTTTAAGAAAATCATTGAAGCCTTACAGACCTTACTGGATTTCAAGAATGTCCGGCTCCCAGTTCAATTAGTTAATTAAATTCTTGTAAATACCGACTTCCGATGCGTATAATGCACAATTATGTTCTTTTAAATAAGTGCAAATAAGTCACGTTATCAAATATAATAAATAATTTTTTCTTTTGAATTCTTAGAACTAGTTAGGAGAGTCACAAATATTACGTAATATCCTTATGGGGGGAGGGAGGTCAAAGATCTCTTACGTATCTAATAATATGAATGTCATACATGGGGGAGGGGGAAATTAGCTACTATTAAAATTAAATTATGTAATATCTGTAAGTCTCCTTAAGAATGAAAACTATCAAACTATAAAATGTATAGCAAAAAATTGATAATGGAATCAACACCAATCCGATAGTAATAACCTAACAACGATATTATCTTTGAAGTGGATTGTGCAGCCCCGACAGCTCGACGGATGCCCGTATTAGAGATTGTACCTATAGGTGGGTGCCGAAATTCAAAAAGGAAATTTAAACAATAATTAATAATCAAGTACGTAATATTGTTGCAATTTCCTTTTTTGAATTCGGCATTCAACATCTATAATAAATTACCCGGATAACCAGATAATTTAATAATACCCGAGTAGAGATTTTCTTGACGGATATAATTTCTAGTCCGTATACGTATAATGGTTAAACTTTCAAAAAAAAATTCCAAATATAAATATCTAATACGTAAGAGAGCATAAGTTTCTTGTGGCTGACCATTATGAAAATAAAAAATTGTTCTGTCATATGAAATCTATCTGTTTTGACATACAATGCCGTGTAACAAAATGCTAACAGATAATTTTTCATGCTTTCATGCTGTCATGGCACGCTGCAGGGGTACAAAGCACTTCTTTTTTTTGCTAAAAAAAAACCAAAAATCCCTGATCATTTCGGACGTATCCGTAACTTCGACCATCTAATTAATAATTTGCATATCCTACAGAAATTCTAATATAGTTAAAGTAGAAAGGGCATTAATAGCATATATAAGGCAAAATGAATAATTTGTCCGTGTATTCAGTACGTACTATACCTCCGAATCGATAAATACATCACACGACTATTATGTAACGCAAACCATCAAGAATTTTCCGACTTCCCACGAAAATTTTATGGTTTTTGAGTCTCCGTTATGTTATAGCGATAGTGAATGAGAAAATACCTTTTATGGGCCATAGCTTGATTTGCCCGTTGACGGAGAATTTGTTTCACCATGTGTATAAATTTGCATAATTGTAACGTAACTACAATAATTGACGGGCATCTTCGTATATCCGATATACATCTAGTTCTCCAAAATGGTATTTAAATATGTACGTACATACGTACGCGTTTCGATTCAACCTCAGAAAAAATTTTTTTTTAGTATATATAGGTAATAAACTTAAAAATACTTTTTGAAATTTTTTTTTACTTTCGGCTGAATTCTATGATGTCGCAATCAATGAGTTCGCCAATCTCTGCTTCTGCATCACTTGAACTTATGCGACCAACAACTAGTGGTTCCGAAAATCACTATATTAAACAAAAAAAAGTCTTTGAAAGATTTGCTTCAGTAGAGAAAGATGGTCAAAAATATATGAATCAAGATGATTTTATTTCTGCTATAGCACCAGGAGAAGATTATAAAAAAATTCAAAAGGAACAATTCGGAATATTATTCGGAATAGCTGATAAAGATAAAAAAGGATTAATATCTTTTCAGAACTTTGTAATTTTTGAAAATTTAATTTTAAAACCGGATGCTGAATATGAAATCGCTTTTAGATTATTTGATGTGGAAGGAAAAGGAATGATTACTATGGATCAGTTTAAAAAGATTTTATTTTCAAATGTCACTTCAGATAGTGTACCATTCGACTTCGATTGTGAATGGTTAAAATTATATGTTGGTAGAGATCCTGGGAGAAAACATGAATTGGCATATGAAGAGTTCACTCAATTATTAAAAGGATTACAAGCAGAGCGACTTAGGCAAGAATTTAAATTTTATGATAAAGAAGGTAGTGGATATATTACACCTGATAATTTTAAAAAAATCATTCTTTCTATAGCGAGACATAAAATTTCCGATTATGTTACTGAGCAACTACCTACTTTATGTAATATTTATGCTGGAAACAAGATTAATTATGCAAGTGTTGTAGCTTTTCATAATATCGTGCGACAAATGGACATGGTGGAAAGAATTGTTCATAAAGCTATTTCTGAAAGTAGTGATGGAAAAATTACCAAAAATGATTTTCTTAATACTGCTTCAAGAGAAACAAGATTTTCTCTATTTACTCCATTAGAAGCCGATATTATCTTTCATTTTGCTGGCTTAGGAAATCCATCAGGAAGGTTATCAAGACGTGATTTTGCCCAACTTTTAGATCCTAAATGGGAACGACGAGAGACCCCAACTGTTAAGAAACAAACAAAGAAACATACTGGAATTGGATGGGAGATATTACATCAAATTTATTCTTTTGCCTTAGGATCAGTAGCTGGTGCCGTGGGTGCAACAGTTGTTTACCCTATCGATCTCGTTAAGACTCGAATGCAAAATCAAAGATCTAGGGTGGTAGGTGAATTGCTATATAGAAATAGTATAGATTGTTTTCAAAAGGTAGTAAAAAATGAAGGTATAAAGGGTCTTTACAGTGGCCTCGGCCCCCAGTTGGTGGTAAGTCAATTTTATAAGTATATGATAATTTTTATGTCGTAATTGATTACATGACTCTGTTGTGTGATTTAGGGTGTAGCACCGGAAAAGGCTATAAAGTTGACTGTAAATGACCTTATGCGATCCCTACTTAAAAATAAAGACACTGGCTTTATTCCCTTACATTATGAAATTATTTCAGGTGGAGTGGCCGGAGGCTGTCAAGTTGTAAGTTCTTTACATCCTAAACGATTCAGATATCATCTGAATTCTAGAAAAACTAATTCACTAATATTTAGTTTATATCTTGTTTAGATCTTTACAAATCCCTTAGAAATTGTAAAGATTCGTCTCCAAATTCAAGGTGAAATTGCAAAAAATGTAGATATACCACGTAAATCTGCAGTGCAAATTGTAAAGGAACTTGGTCTCTTTGGTCTTTATAGAGGCGCAAGTGCATGTTTGCTCCGAGACATTCCCTTCTCTGGAATATATTTCTCAACATATGCCCACATAAAAAAGGACTTCTTTGGTGAAACCCCAGATAAAAAATGTAGTATAGTTGAACTTTTGATTGCTGGTGCTGCTGCAGGAATGCCAGCAGCGTACTTAACAACACCAGCAGACGTAATCAAAACTCGTCTACAAGTTGAAACTCGTAAAGGTCAAACAAGTTATAATGGTATATTTGATGCTTGTAAAAAAATTTTTCGTGAGGAGGGTTTTGCAGCATTTTACAAAGGTGGTGCAGCACGTGTATTTAGATCCTCTCCGCAATTTGGTACAACATTAATGGTTTATGAACTATTACAAAGATTGATTCCATGGTCAAGTTCCGAAGAACAAGTGGGAAAAGTTGTTTCAGCTGTTACTGATACTGGTGACCTTGGATATTTGAAAAGTAGAAACGCATTAAAGATCTTATTGGTATTTATTAGATTTTTTTATGTCGATGGATTTTTTATTTTTTATTTTTTTACTATTCTAACGAATTTAAATATTTTTATAAAAGGACTTGGATTATAAATTTGGAGTAGTACCAAAAAATGTTAATATTCCTATACCAGCTTAAATTATACATATATCTACAATATTTATTCGTTTATAGAAAAACATCATAATATAAAGCATTTAGATAAATATAAATTTGGTTTTTTATTTAAGGGTAAAACTATAGTATTACAGTATTAGTGTTAGATCAATGAATTTTTAAAGTGATATTATTGCAATGTCAATGTGATATAATTGAACTCAGATACCAATGAGGTAATATATTTTCTTTAATCGATTACAATATGCTAATTTGACATGAATTAACTTCCTTTTTTAAAAGCTTATTCCTGAAAGTATGATATCGATCCAATGATTGCTTTGTTCAGCAGGTAGTTATACGCGTTAACAAGTTTTTAACGACATTCATATATATATATTTATACATGATATAGAAGGTATTTTTACTACAAATAAAAGTCATATAGATACAAGTGATTAAAAGTAATTATTGTTAGTGGTTTCTATAAATATTCTTTGACATGTTGACATATTGCAGTATCAGTATTACATATTATATAATTATGTAAAATGGCGCACGTTAAAAATAACTATTTGTCTGTAAATAACCCAATTTTATTGTTTGCTTCTACGACTAAAAAACTTTTTTGCAATTCTGAATTAAAAATAATTAAAAATTATTGTTAGTGGTAATATAAAAATTGAAAAATAATTATTAAAAAATAAAACTAAGAATTAAATTTTATTTATAATTTTAAAAAATTGGCGATTTAAAAATATATTTATACAGTATATACTATAATATTGACTTCTTAATTTATTAATTATTTTAAATAATTTTATTAACAAATATTTGATTTATTAAAATAAACATTTTGATAATTAAATTATTTGATTTTAATAAATTTATATATATATAGTAATTTTAAAAATTTTAAACATATATATTTGGTTATCTAACAATTAGAATTGAATAATTTTTGCTCTATTAAGCTTGTTTTTAAATGATATAAAAATAACTTAATTCTAATCACTAGATATCCTCTCTTTTCACAATACCCATCTTTCTTAGAGAAGTGTTATTTATCAGTTAATTTTTTGTAAATAGTAAAATTTTTCACCTCCCTCAAATGATTACAATTATATATAAACCATATATATATATGATCTATTAGCATGATATTTTGGCATCCGCCTCTTTGCTAAAAAAAATCCGATAATAGATGACGCTTCCCTTATAATTTATATATATTTTTAAAAAAATTATTATTAAATTAATAAACTTTTTTAACCTTTATAATTAGCACATTTCTTTATAATCATATTTTTTTGTATTTCAATAATATAATTATAGAGAGGTTTAACTGTATACTATTTATTTTTATTTTAAACCGTGAGTATAAAGAATATTTATTTCAAGTAATTAAATAAGCTATTCAAGTTTATTTACTATTTAATTTCAGTTTGTTTGTTATTAATTTAATGTGAGTATAAATAACATTTATTAATTTAAATATTTAAAACAAGCTATCTATAGTATATTCATAAATCTTCAATTTCTTTTTTTTTTTTTTTTGCAATAATTTAGTGGGTGTGCAGAACAATTATTAAACTTTATATTTACTAGTATTTCGATCTTATTTTTGACAGGTCATCTAAATTCTATCAAATCCGGGTTGAATCCGCATTAGATTATAGCACAAGTTCTTCGACCAATCCGAGTAAAAATCTCTGATATAGATATCTGAATTTATCTAGATTTAGGATCAATCCAGATTATCGGATTTAGGATTAGATTGTACGAATAATTTATTATATAATTATATATTATTTAAAATAAACTAAAGTTCATAATTATATAGAGCTATTGGATGTGAAGCAGCTAATAACGGAAATTATTTGTAAACCAATTTCATTATTTGACTGAGTAGCATTCAATAACGGTATTATCCGGTATCTTACGATGACCGCATCAAAATAACTCGAGTTATTAATACGATCATAGTAAGGTGCTAGATAATTTCTTGTTATTCGTATTTCAATAATATATAAATATCTATGTACGTGCGTATATATTACTAATTACTGGTAGGACTGCTAAAGTCCGACCCTTTCTGTCCGGGGCCCTTTGATAAAAAGTCGATCCTTGTGTTGAGTTCGTACGTACGTAATATACTGTATGCTACTGTATTGCACAAATACTATAACTTCTTTGATCTTTCACATAATATACTTGATTCTAAAGAAAAAAAATATATTTACCCTTATTTGATAATATCTCGATATAACGATAAATTACCAATTTTATGAGCATCCTCCTAATCATGAATTGGACAAAAGAAATGTATTTGGACTTTGTCTGAATAAGCTTGGAATCGGTCCTAAATGTCCGTGTGAAGTCAATTCAAGGACCGGATCCATCAAGTTTTTATAGTCCTAATTACTGGTTTGATCTATAATCATTTAATGTCAGATTAATCACAAGTTTTTGATTGTCAAGTTTTTGTTTGATCGTGCCAAGCACTACGTGGCACCCAAAACTTGTCTGGTTCTAGACAATCATGATTTTTTGAAGAAGTAATCTAAGATATCATTCAAATGTACGGTTTATTAAACACATTAATTCGTACAATTTATAAAACTTGACAATCATATGAAATATAGTTTATAGATAGTAGGCAAAAGATATATGGATTAACTCACAACACAGTACTTTATGGCAGGGATGGTAAATGACCAGGTCATTGCCTATTTTGCAAATGACCTGAAATGACTCCAAAATGACCGGTCATTTTGGTCATCTAATTTTTGAGTCATTTAAAAATGACTCGTGACCAAATGTCCTAGGTCATTTATAAATGACCAAAGTCATTTGGGTCATTAGGTCATTATACATACTACAATCGGATGATGCGACATATATTTAAATAAATAATAAAAAAAAGAATTATATTATTTTGCGCATATGCGCTGTAACGCACCTCATAAGATCAGGTGTAACGTGAAATCAAAACAATAAATTAATTCGTTAGTTTAGGGTTAGGGTGAGGGTTAGGTTAGGGTTAGGTTAGAGTGCTTTAGCGAAAAGGTTCTAACCCAAAATTTCGCAAGGAATTTTTTTTTTGTTAGTGCATGAAGAGAGGTTTCATAAGCAAAATTTTTAGCTACAAGCGATTTTTTAAAAGATCGCTATTTTTTTCGATTTCACGTTACACCTGATCTTAAATTCTGATTGGTCGATCAGTGGGTGCGTTACTACGCATATGCGCTAAATTATATAACTCTAAAAAAAATTCAAAAAATAAAATAAAATAAATTTCACAATATCTGATTTCTCAACAGTTCGGCAGTTAAACTCACATATACATACGCACATATGTACTAGGGCATCGTAAGCTAAGCCGGGCATGGGTACTATGTTTTAATAGTATGCTTGTCAGCTAGAGATAGGCAAATCACGGTTTTCTCAAAAATCTCACGCATTATATGTGGGATAGAATTGCAAATCTGCAGGTTTCTTAATTTTTTGTGTCTGATAAAAGAAATTATTACTGTATTAAAAATTATTTTCTTGTTCTAATGCTATTTTGAGAATTTACAGTAAATATTTTAATGTAGACCAGATATTATAATAATGCCAGCCATATGATATGGTAATACTGATCAGATAATTTTATCTAAAATCATATTAAAAATCTCACGCATGCCCATCTCTAGTGTCAGCACTTGCAGAGCTCTAGTTGCTTACCTGATATATACGTTGCATATGTACATATCATCATACATATCTGATACATATGTTGTGTATATACATACTATTATATATATCTGATGCCTATTCTAAACTCTGTTTAAGTTAGTTTATTAATTGGGTATACTTGGAAACTTTTTTTTAAAAAAAATAAACATCTGATAATAAGCTACTCTTATTATTAAGCAAAATTTTTTGAAAACTGTAAACACCAAAAATAAGCTACTCTTTATTTTTGTATTCAAAATTATGTTAAAAAAAATAGCTTATTTTTATTATTTTCAAGAATATATATGGTATATTTTTCAAATGACCCAATAGGTCATTTCACTCTTTTAAATAACTAGTCATTGGTCATTATTCACTTGAGTCACAAGGTCATTTCAGATTATTTACCATCTCTGCCACACAGTACCTCTTAGTACCTCCACATAGGTACTTCTCAGTACCTCTACATGAGTACAGTAGGCGGCAAAAGTAACGCCCGATTTTTTAATAAAACAAAAACGATTGATTTATTTAATTTTTGCACTATATATGCTAATAAAATTTTTTATAGCTAGTTAACATATTGTTAAATACACGTAGGCATTGAAAAATATCATGATTCTTCACAGTATTAAGCCTACAATTACCCAAAGATCAAACATAACTTGATTTATTTACTTCGTATTAAGGTGGCTTTAAAATTGCACACATTCTCAGGAGAGACTTGAAACTTCTGGATCTTCATCTTTAACACTTTATAGTTATTTTTAATAGGTTTAGGTCGGGGAGGCTTTATTATTCATATTATAAA